CAGCTTTAGAGCAAGGCCTTACGATAAAGTTTTAAACGGTAGTCGTCAAAAACGTTAATAGTAAAAATATTTTTGGTAACCAGCGTAAGGGAAAAAACCTAACCGTTAGCCGTAAAGTGGCCACAATTTTATCCTTTAAACTTACCAGCCATCACCCCATTGGAACCCTCCACTATTTGGTGCATCTTTTTATTACTATTGTTCATTGATTATTTCTTTTTGAAAGTTCAACCTCAATCAACGCCGGTAGGCCGGTTGCCGAACACTGTTGCAACGGCACGAAGTTAACGCGTCATCGTTGAAACTTCATAAAAATCCAACCCACACTTAAAATGGGACTAATTCGGTAATCACCTTGGCCTGTTGAAGAGATTAAACTGAAGGCGTTATCCAAAGATGGCAGGCTTTAAATTGTGAACGAAGGTATCGTTTTTTTACCGCACGAGATAGTAAAGAAATTATTTTGTACAATTCCTCTCCGCTTAAAGAACTGAGTATATGCCCTAAAGTCGCATTTCCATTTCAATGATAATGAATTATTTTTAGTTTGTGCGCACAAGTATTGCAACTTCTCCTTTTTAGTGGGCACGGTCAATTTTAAATAAACGTCATCTTTTTTTTTTTTTTTTTTTTTTTTTAACGCAGCGACCATCTTAACGCGCGGGGCTGACATAAATGTATTTCGTATTTAATTGAAGAACAACAACGGGGAAAAGGCGCTTTTCGGAGATAACCTATAAGGGAACTTGCTATCGATTACTAGCTTTAGTCCCTCTTTCATCGGGCGCGTGCATTGGCACAAACGTCCTCTAATCTATCTCCTTTTCAACTTATAGAGTAACAACTTTTACATACGTCTGCATGCTGCTACATAAAACTGTCATATAAGTTGCAAGTGTTCATAGCACAATTTGGATTTTCACTTGACTGCTACGTGATAAATAAACCGACTTAAGAAAAAAAAACCTCAAAACAACACTAAAAGTACCGTGGATTACAATAATAATTATCGACGTACTTAAGGTGTTGTTTTAGAACGCACTTTTCCCATTCGATGTAGAAGACCTCTTTGATGTTAATTCAAAACTTCTAGAAGGAAGAGCATCCACCATAAAAGTCGCATCTATACGCGTCTATATATTCAGTGGAGAAGAATGCTTAAACCGGCCATTTTAATTTGTTCAAAAACGATAAAGGGTCTTTCCTTAACAATACTGTACAGGCGCTGCTGAGGATGCATAAAAAGAAGACGTGTGAGATCAAACAGTTTTTTCGATGAGTTCCCCAGAGTGCCACTTGGTAAACTCCTGCAGAAGGTTTATTTCTTCTCTGCTGAGGACTCCCAGCGACGAATTTCCAGGTACCTGGATTTAAATGCAAGCTTGATAAGAAAATTAGTAGGCACTTACAGGATGGCTGCCCAAGAAACCTTCAGGACAGGCCAATCACGCCCTTTGGACTGGTGTAAGATGCAACGAGAGTAAATTCAACCACTAATCGAAGCTAAAAATCACTATTTTTTCAAGTTTATACTAACACGGTAAATAGCGTCGTAGAAGCGCTCTGATCGGCCTGCACTCAAACTTTGAACATCCTTTGCTAATAACCTCCGAGCAACTTGCCCACCATTGGCAAACAAAAATTATGGCGATCATTTATAGCAGGAATAAATGAGTTTAAAAAAAATCACCTTTTTGTGCGATATTATATTACTGATATAATATATACTAGGCAAATGTTCACCTCCAATCATTTCAATATTTTTTTTAAATATAAATATTTTCATAATCTTACTGTTCCTTGATTTTCTGTAACATGCGGTTCGCAAGCCGAAGTAGGTGGGAATGTGACAACAAAAAGCACTCGGGACGCTTTAATATCAAAATTATTTCATACAGGTAAATGATAATTACACATAGCTGGGATAAAGCCTAAAGCAAAATATTAATGGGACAAAAATCATCCTTGTGAAATATATATATTTTTTCATTATTTCAGAACAACTGGGGAAGACGTGCACAAAGGTACACATGGGTTTTTGGGATTGTTACGACACAACATTCACCTGCAAAAGGCTACTTCGATGAAGTGGAAAGACGAGATATGGCCACCCTCCATCCCGTCATTTAAAGGTGTGTTCTCCCTGGAACCGAAGTGCACTCGGATGACTTGGCCTCCTACCGGCAGACGGACCAAAGAATTAACAACATAAGTGCACATCAAATGATTGTCCACCGACTCAACTTCGTTGACCCAGTCACTATGGGGTTGACACCCAAGTAAATACGCTACGGTTTTTACTTTCAGTTTTGGAAGAGACAGGTAAAGAAACAATTAAGCTCTGTCCATGACTATGTTGAATAGGTTTTACATAGGTTAGGTCTACTGACCACACTGGTCCGGAAAGATTTTCAAACGAAACGACGTATTTTTAAAATATGCGATTTCAACTTGAATTTTAACTCATTTTGAAAACCGACCTTTTCGAATTCCCCGATTTTCCCCACATTTTTTTGACGGGATGATAAGGGCTTTACTATACGCATCATCTGGCTGCATTTCGTTTTTTTTGCCGTAGATGACAATTATGATAATGCAAAAAAAAAAAAAACAGTTTATTCATTTTCATAGATAGAGGCAAAGCTCTTTTTGGATTGTGAGAGAAAAATACGTTTTTCAAAGCACCTGCGAAAGTGTGGTCGGGGCCTTGATCTTGGAAGTATTTCACGCACAACAATCACGGTGTTCAAAAAAAAAACTTGATTGAAAAGTTCAAAATATATAAAAATAATTTTCTGAATCACCAAAATATTTTGGTGATTCAGTCGTAATCCTTTCTTAAGGAGAAAAGATAGTAACATTTTAAAACTAGAGTGCGATACCAATGTTGTTGTGTCGATAGATGACGCTGTTATTAGTCAGAAAAAAGGTGCGACGATATTCAATTTTTTTTTACTGCTTCATATGCGTGTCTTTTCCTTTCTTTAATTACCCTCTTAAAAGTTACAGTAAAAGTTCAAAGTAATATCTAAATGCAAGTTGTCGTAAAGAAAGCCGAAACGCACACGAGCGAAAAAAAGGGTATCCTGATCTTAGGGGAAGAGAATCGCTTAAACAAAAACGGCAGCATGGGAAAATTTATTTTCAACATTCTCCCCACTTACTTCATATCCTCTCTATGAATCCTGTCTCTGAATCTCCTAAAAAACTTATGAAGTATTTCACCGTCGGTATCGAGGTTTTTTTGCACACTCCAAAGGTTGGACCCTCCACCAGTCTATCTGGAATGGTAATCGAGTACAACAAATCGATATCGAGCTCGGTTGCCCAGAAACAAATATTGATCCCGATTATCAAACGTCGTTTGCTTATCGAACAGGAATGGTAATCGAGTACGACAAATCGATATCGAGCTCGGTTGCCCAGAAACAAATATTGATCCAAACATTCTATGTTAAATGAAACTTTGTTATGAATGTTAATTGGGATTGCAACAAAAACATCTGTGAGGCTATAATAACAATTACCTTTCCAGGTAAACAAACCATAATGATCCTAACAATATCAATACAATATGAATCAGATAAGTGATGAGAATAAAGAAAAATATGAATTTGGAGATAATTAGTTGATCCAATACTAAATTCTTAGAACTAACATTTTAAGAATTGTCTAGTTGACAGTAAGGAGAATTACACATTTGAACTGGGAGTTAAAGGGATAAATTTTATTTGATCAAAAACATGAACAGTAATAGAGGAAATTAGCTAGCACAATTCAAGTTTCCCCTCTTAAGTATTCTGTGATGTTTTTTCTATCTCACGGTAAAGTTTACCGAGTTTCACTCATTTCACTGTCTTCTGTTTGTTTTCTTTCCTAACAATCTTAGCTATTGTTGCCAACAAATGCGAGGAGCATATACATAAAAATTTGTACAGTTAATAACACTTTAATCCCTGAGAGTGACTAGCATCTAATTTCTCCTTTCAATATCACCCCTGAGTTACACATTAAGGTCATGAGAATAAAGGAAATGATAATCAACTGAAGAACCTCTTTATTGCTAAACAAATTCTCCTTGCTAGCACATAAGGAAATATATAGAGAACAGTATGGAGAATATGCATTCTGATATTGGGGTGTAAAGGGTTAAAGACATCATGTAATTAGGTAGAGTACTGCTTGAATATATGATTGGAATACAGGACATTTCGCACAAAAGACTTTTTGCACAAGTCTTTAAGCACAGGTTTCGGACCGTTCGCACAATTCTTAGTGGTCATTTCGCACAATAATTATAAGTGAGAAATATCAATATAAAAGGTACACTAATTGATACTGATAAGACGTTTCACCTTCACATGTCACTTTCTATAAGATCCAACGGCGAGAACGTAGACATTTATTTGCGTAATACCTTCAACTAGATCGAAACGCTTGTGAACAAGATGACTATTCTTACTTGAAGAAAGGAACAAATCTTTCTCTTTATGAATTGTAAAGAACTCCCTATTCGAACGATTACATCTATTACTTTTCCTTTGTTAAACGAAAAACCTTTTAGTTTGACAGTACACGCTATGGACGCCATGTTGATTTCGAAAGTAGTTGTCACCAGTCCGCCCTCCTCTGAAGTCAAAGTAAAAACCGGCAAACTGTTTCACTTTTTATTAAAAAGGACAAAAGACCTATTTACAATTTTAAATTCAATTATTGTTAATTATGGAATTTTAATTTGCTACCTAGGAACTATCAAACCGAAGGTACTGCCAAAATTGAACATTTCTTAAGTAATCTATACGAATCGATTTCGTCATTATCAAAACGATCCCAAAGCCTAATTATCTTTGACTGCATGTCACGATAGCGTTTTCGTTGAATTCTCGTTAGTTTAGCTTGACTAACAAGTTCCACTTGAAGCTCTACTAGTATTGCTTCCCTGTGCAGAAGTTTTACAAGCAAATAAAATTGCAGCTGATGGCGGGAAGAGGCTCTTTGGTTCATCCTATTGTGCCAACCCTCGATGTCGTTGTTTGTGCGGATATTCCTATAATAAAAAATTTTATAATCATATGAATTGATGTTTAATTTTACCATTTTCTCGTTTTTCAATGCAATACGAAGCATATAAGAGGTAATATAGACTTAGGTATTGAACCAACCTTCGATAAACAGACCAAGTGGTTGGATTCCATCGATTGCTGTCGATCCATGTCTTTCTCCCGTATTCAAGAAGGTTTTGTAGGGCAGCGTTCTGGTCAGCCTGTTGTACGAGCCGGTTAAAATGTCCTCCACGTCGTCTGCGGGTACATATGGTAGAGCCATGACTTTTCTCAAGAACATATGGGTTGGTCTGTGCTCATGGTAGGCAGCCTGAAGTCCCAAATACTGGATCTGATGAGTTAATAAAATGCAAATAAGAACAGATTTCTTGTTGTTGTTTCCTTTTCAGACCTCACTTTCATACCTTTCTCCATACGGCCTGGCTCCAATGAAATCCACAACCGGATAGTTTTACTCTTGGCAGCACTTTGGGAATGGCTTTCCTAACCGACTTTTCAAAATCAAGCACCACTCGTTTGACTCTTGGCTCTTCTGGCAATATTTCAATTATCTTCTCCAGTACCTACAAAACACAATATTTCATAAATAATTATCTTTGTTATGCTTGGTACTATTGGCGCTATTCAATACTATTTAGTTAGCTAGATATTTCACGGTTATAATAATTGCAATCTATTGAAAACTTGTCTTACCTTTTGGTAATCAGTGGTCTTTCGTCCAGACATGAGCACGAATGCCAAGGGAACCTGCTTACTAAGGCATTGATCGAATATAGTTGTACAAAAGGTTGGCGACAAAGCTTAAAAGTACCGTCCATATACCTGACAACAGAGAAAGTAATTAATTGAAATTTAAAATTGGTAATTAAGTCTCTCAACTGTATGACTAAATATTATTCATCGATATTAAGTCGTAATGTTATTATTATGCATACCAATGCTTTGTTTTCGACAATAACTTCAGTTGTTCTTTTGTCGCGAAAATAAGGTGGCGACGGTCTTTAACACGAACGTCTCCACGAAGGAATCCATCGGGTAAGCAATCTTTTTTTAATTCGAAGTCAAGGTCTCGTGGTTCTTCAGGTTGTAGTCGTTGTCGATACCTATTGGCGTTTCGGGCCATGAAGTTTACCTTGGGCAGGGCACTACAGGGACGATCGGTTTCCAACGTTTCTAGCAGCACATTTTCGACGATGGCTGAGGCTGGCTTAAATACATCAGTCACGACAATTTCTTTGATTTTCTTAACTACCTTGCAAGCTACAGCTGTTCCTGTCTCTGGGTCACGCTTATGGCTAATCTGACTAATCGTAAAACTGCCGCCGCTCTCTTTCACTGTAGCACGACATGGGTTCACCTACGTTGAGAAATGGATATATCATATATGAGGCTATTAAGTGATGTCGTATTGCGGGTCCAAATGAGAAAATAAAAAATAACATCCAAAACACAAAGATTGAATTATTTTAACTCTAAGAGTTGACGATTGAGATGAAAACAACTACTGCTGCTTTAAAAAATTTATAGATTTATATAAAAGTCTTTTCGTAAAAGTTATAACATTGTTTTTAATGAAGTTTTAACGCGATATATTTTATGAAATAGTGACAAAAATAAAATTTATCAGACCCGCAAGTTGTTTTTTTTTTCGAACCTAATACAATTTACAGTACACAACAAATTCAGACGCAGTGTTTTTGTTGTACTTAATTTAATAATTGAATTCGATAGCAAGTTAAACATGCCATCTGGAACAAGCCTAAGTTAAATTTGATTTAAGTTCAAACTAACCTTTGGTCTTTTGGTACATTGCCATTCAATAGACTTTTTACCGCTGTACTTGATGTCGAATCCGTAGCCACGGCTGTCGACCAGTTTAACTTTACCGCGTTTGGTTGCATCTTCAATTTTCTCAAACGTAACATGGAAGGAGGATTCACTGATGTCTCCTAATGAAGGGTCTTCCAAAGATGACTCTAAAAGAAAACAAAAGATGAATATGATGCTATAATAAATACAAAATGAAACAGGAATATTGTATCGAAGGGTGAAAGTCGCTGATAAAATTACTAGTTATGTTATTATTATTAGTTATTACTAGTTACTAGCGTATAATCTTTGAATTATTTTGAATTCTTGAAACTTTCGTGAAATAATTTGTTTACATCACGGTCGCTATGACGCTTATCGATCGATACTGAACTCTCCATCGCTTAAGTAATTGTTATTAGAATAATTTGCAAGGTTGATAGATGTATTAAACTTTACGATCATTGAAAAGATTACAGATCGAACTTGTCTTTCTACAAGATCACTAGTTTCTCCCTACACTAACACGTTCAAGTTGTCAAATCACAACACTTGCACGTGCCGACATTCGATGTGAAGCACTCTCTAAATATCGAGTTTTTAACGTTGAACTGTTTTTGCTGTACATATTACCTGTACGCCAAATTGTCATTATATAAGGAAGATATAAGAAGCAAGTTTTCAATAACTTTATTTGAAACTCTTAGAGATCGATAAAACATGCTGTTTGAAGGCGATCGAACAAGGAGGGAAGGACTGGTGACGATAACTTTCGAAATCAACATGTGTCCTTAGCGTGGGTCGTCATGTTTGCATGTTTGTAGTGGATGATGTACAGTGAAAACTAAAAGGTTGTAGGAAAAAGGAAGTAGTCGTTCCAATAGAAAGTTCTTTACATTTTTATGGAGAGAGAGATTTGTAGCTTTCCTTTCTTCAAGTAAGAATAGTGATCGTGTTCACGAGCATTTCGATCTAGTTGAAGTTAGTAGGTAAATAAATGTCTACGTTCTCGCCATTGGATCTTATTGAAAGTGACATGTGAAGGTGAAACGTCTTATCAGTATCAATCAGTATACCTTTTATATTGATGTTTCTCACTTATAATTATTGTGCGAAATGACCACTAAGAATTGTGCGAACGGTCCGAAACTTGTGCTAAAAGACTTGTGCGAAAAGTCTTTTGTGCGAAATGACCGGTTACCTATGATTGCAGTAAGTACAATCATTCTATGCTCTTTCACTCTTCCACCCTGGAGGTTGCCTTGTGTAAAAAAAAACCTTTTTAAAGACACCTCTGCAATGGTAGGTACACACAACTGACATGTATGAGTGAAGCATGTCAAGTATTAAGATATGATTGTCAATTAGCCTTTTATTACTTGCAAACGGCTTCTTTCTATTAGCTTTAAAAACTCCTGTATCCCCACTTTCAAAGAAAAGCATTTCCCATGAAAATTTAAGCATTAAAGACATACCAGTAAGCTACCAGCAACAGGTTTTTCCATTGCAAGTGTTTCATAACATCAGACTCATCACATTTTTTGGTTACATTTGAAAGCATAAGAATATTTTAATCATTACAATATGATAAAATCCCCCATTTTAACTCCCATGAGTGACCAAGAAAGAATTTCTCCTTACAATATCAAAACAATATCAAGCAGACAAGTTATGAGAATGAAGAAAAAAAATCAGTTGGGGGATTATAAGATGATCCAATACTAAATCCTCCAAACTAACATCACAAGAACTGTTTAGGAGATAGTAAGGAAAATTACTAGTGAGATCTTGCGAGTTAAAGGATTTAGTCCCACTGGTGACCAAGACAGAATTTCTCCTTACGTTATTAGTATGATATACAGCAGACAAGTAACTATTTCAAATTCTCCAAACTAACATCACATAAATTGTATGGCAGACAGTAAGGAGGATTACTCATGACATTTTGAGAGTTAAAGGGTTAAGACACATATGGTAACCATGTGAACCAGAAAGACAGCAAATAGATATAACAGTATACTCCAGTAAAGTGTTCTTATGTACAATGAAGTTTCAAACTTATTGAAATTAAGTTGACCTCATAATTCATATTTTAGTTGAAGAAATGTGCAATATCTCTTTACAAGGATGAAAAGGGAATGCCATTTATGAATTTTAAAATAGTAAATGCCAAAAACATAGAGATAGAATTTAAAAAACTATTAATATATGGCATAACTATTCAACTATTCACTGAGGTGTTGATCATTAGCTGTCATGATCACACAGAGATATAAAATAGGGTTTGTGAAAAAACCCAGGGCAATAAAATTGAAGATTCAGGAGAAGCATATGATTTCAACTTATTTACTGATGTTCTCACCTGAATTCAATCTGGAATGAGAACTCTGCAAGACTTCTGTTTTATCTTGAATTTTATTCTAACCTTCCTATTTGAGGGGTGCCTTGTGTATCAAATAAATCAAGTTCAGCACTTCCAGAGTTACAAGCCGGGCTTTTGGGGCTACAAAATAATAAAATAATCAACGAGTTATGTCAGGCCTATTTATCGAGAGTTAATTAAGTATAGTTTTCTAAAATCGTATGGAAGTTTAAAATGTGCTTCACTTGTGCTATATATAAGGATTTGTCCTTCTTAATTACTAATAAAATTTCGAGAGTGTGACTCGATTACTTCAAAAGAGAATATCCAAGCAGGTTACAGAGATGGTTCGCGAATTGTAAACTGTTAATGTGTTGACAAAATTTCCCTACATTATTGTGCCGATACGAATCTATCATTCATAATCGCTTATGAAATTCCGAGACTGAACCTCAACGAATTTAACGGAAAATAAATATCCAATATACAATTATTTACGCTTACCATGTGCTTACCAGTGCGCTTGCGAGGTCAAATTGCCAGAACCCCGTTTAATTGCTCGATCACAGCTCGGACGCTTCTTGCAAAATGTGATGACTACCAATTTTAGAGATTAATTCTTCAGTATCCAAGACAAGGAAAAAAATATCGTATCGCAAGCATGTTCATCATAACGCCTCGAGATGTTAAGCGAAGAGAAAGTGGCTCCATGTTTTGTGAGACAAAACATTTCCTGAAGTTCGAACGAATCGAGTAGAAAGCATGAAAATATAGAGCTGAAAAGCACGACAGCCAAACAATTTAATTCACTCACCCGCTGTGGAATTCGGACCAACTCCATTTACCCGTGAGTTTGTTTGCACCATACATTTGCGGTCCGTAATTTGATTCTCAGATGTTTGACGGGTTCTCACATGACAATGTCGTCAAAATCAAATTACCGCGTCAGCCTTAACGTAAACATGGACATCGCTGACTCAATCTCGATCTATTTCAATTTTGGGATAGGCCATTACTTCGTTCTTAAGGTAAAACAACACATCTTCGGCAAAGCACGAATTTTTCAAATGAATAGAATAAATCCTGCGATAAGTAACTGAAGAGGAAAAAAAGTAGAAACTTGCGCACGCCGTTCGCCTCCATTTGAAATCTTTTTAGGCAAAACAAAATACGTAAGATAACTTCTTTTCCCATAACACCACGACTGTATTAAACTTTTAAACGAAAGGACAAGAAATTACTTGAAGAATACGAACACTATGAAATATTATTCGAGCGATGAACCGGCGTGAGGGTTTTTAAACGATGAATGCCAGAGTCAATGTTTAACCGAAACGTGATCAGTTGAATCAAAAACTGAAGCTAGTATCAAACGACGATTGGTTAAAATAGAAGTTTGAATTTTTTCTGGGTCTTAGCGTAAGAGAAAACCCAGATAAGAGACGACTTACCTCCTCTTCCTTCGCGGATCCTTTGTAGTTCGCTTCTCTTTGTTGATGATCTCTTTCAATCTGTTTTCAGGAGCGACTTTGTATTTCCTTCTCGCGTTGCTCTTCGCTAGATACTCGCCTTTTTACTTATGCCCTTTATTGTTCTCTTTCGCGTTCCTCTCGCCGTATTCTGACTATTTTGGCGTCCTTTCTAACTTTCTTACGCGATTTTCTGGACTCGCTTCAATCGCGCCATTACCTCCTCCCTCACCCTTCCATTACGTAATGGCTAAGATAGTGCCCGTGGTACAGTTGGCCGCGCATGGTAAAAGTAGCACCTTGTACGGTCATACGGTCATACGGTCGTACAACCAAATTTTTTCGGCTTGATGGGTTGACTATTTCGTATAATTATGGGGCTACGCTGGAGTTCCGCTATAAGTTGTATCATTGGTCACTGTAAATTTGCTTGAACATCAAATATTTGGTAATAATATAATAATAATCATCATCATCATCAAC